ATTATAGATTTTCTTTTATTGGATTTATTTTACTATTACATTCAAATGAATTGTGCTTTCATTTCAGCATGCATTTTCAGTACCTGATTCCAAACTATGGACTTTCAAATTTTATACATTAAAATGGAATTACTTTTAGGTTCATTGGATTGTTGTGATGGTTGTACCTGCAATTTTTGAAGTGTGGAAGAAACACTTCCTAATATGTTTGCAAAGAGATGCATGGATGGTTGATTAGCCATTACAGTCTCTTAGCTGCACTAGTATACACCTGTGTGCGTAGAACTGTGGGTCACAATATGATGAGTATTTACGGCTGTATGCTAAATTTTAATGACACGAAACTTTGTGGCTCTACATCCTAGAGACTAATTGCTTTCCTTTTTCTGTGGTGACATTTTATTTCCCCCTTGAAAAGTGACTTTGCTGTTTGTCTTGCTTTCTTGCTCGAAGTTTTGAGTTCTCTACTCTTCTGGTCTGTGTCTGGGGAATGAAGACCATGTATCTTTTTATGTTTTATTTGCACTTTCTTTTGGATTTATTTAGTGGGATTTCATATTGCTTTACAGTTGAAAACAATAAAAAGGTAAAACTTTTGCTTAAAATTATGTTGGTGTTGATGCTCTATTCCTTGAAGCATCTTATTCATCATTTTGGTTGGTCGATCTGTTGCACTGAATTTTGATGTTGTTTTTTAATTGCATTCAGGATGTTCATTGGCTCTGTGAAGAGGCTTAGAATCATGAGGACATCTGAGGCCACTGGACTTGGTATACAATGTTTGATGAATGATATCTTTACCTCTTGAAGTACTATATTCTCCTCTGTTTTGATTACACTTCTTTTGATCCTTAATTTGCAGATCCAAGCTTACAAGAAAGGAATGGTAGACAGAGAAGGAGCTAAGGAGCCTTACTAGACTGTTTTCCTTTCACTAGCAAGATGAATGCCTGCAGCAAGCTAAAGAATATACAAAGTGGAAAAAGAGATCAGTATTTAATAACCAAAGCATTTTGATACGTGAAGTTTTGGTCCTATATGTCTTCTCCTTTTGTTATTGGTTTGTGTACTATTTGGTTATAGTTTTGGTGCATTCTTATTTCCACTCTCTGGAATATTTTGTACACTTTTCTTTTGGGAGGCCCAAGATCCCTAGTTTCCGATGTAATATACAAAGCATACATGAAGTGACTCTGTTTTAACTGTTGTGTATATATCATACACAGTTTTTCTGGTGAGTTTGCGGCACTATTTATGATCTTGTCCATCAAGTGAAAGGAAATTTTTTGTTTTGGCTTGGAACATTTCCTCAACTCATCCAGGATGTCTTTTCGATAGGGGGAGTGAAGGGAATGATACCTAATGTTCGCGGGAAGTGGGTTAATCCAGCATTTGGCATATTTCAAGCAGCCATCATATAAATATATGTACATATTTGTTATACTTATAAATAGGCTCCGTGGACTTGAACCCAAGTTTTAAGTCTCCTTTATGAGGAAGCTGGGTACTGAACTTCTGGGTTAAATCTCTAGTCCCTTGAAGAGTATCTTAGGAATGAGAAGTTAATGTTATCAACATGTTGATGCAATCGTCTCAATATTTTGTCAAGGTAGTTTGAAAATGTGTTAGAAAGACTCAGAAAAGCACATGATTAAGAATTCTGGCTCCTTGATTGACTTTCTGAGAGACTAGACCAATTTGTTTACGACTGTTTGATGGATGGCTGTGAAAATGGCCCATAATTTGAACCCAGAAATTGAAGTCAATGAAGTCTGTAGGGATGGATACTGGACCAAAAAGTCTGGCCTTCCCCAGATTGACATGATTTTATTTGCAAGGAGAAATCAATGTCATATACCATTAACATGCTAGATAGCCATATGTATCAGTAATTACAGAACATTGACAAAGGCAGCTCTACATACACAATTAATAATTGAACAAAATATTCGAGTGGCCTGTAGGAAACTCGTCCTTTGTTCTTCCTACACAAGGCCATTAACAGGAGAGGTGCTGAAAACTGGAACCTCTTTGTTAGTTGTATGTCCATCGTTGTTGCTATTGCTTTTTCTTCGAGGTTTTGCCTCTCCGAGCATGGTTATGACATCCCTCATGGACGGTCTATCTCTGGGGAGCTTTGCAGCACAAAGAAGAGCTATTCTAAGAACTAGCAGCATCTCTTCTTGTACATGTTTACAATTGCCTACACTTGGATCTAATGCCTCTTCTAGTGCTCTGTTGTCTCCTATCTTCCTTCTAATCCATGCAACAATATCTACAGACTCTCCAAACTCCGGATCTAGAGGTCGCTTCCCTGTTAGAAGCTCTAATAGGACCACTCCGTAGCTGTAGATGTCTATCTTTTCGTCTACTTTCAAGGTGTATCCATATTCTGCCATGAATGGATGATAGAATGCTCACTCGGGTTATATTGTGTTAATCATAATGCGTAGAGCAGCAAACCTAAATAAATAAAAAAATAAAATTGTTTATGAGAGTGTAAACTTGCAACTCACCAGGAGCTATGTATCCATAAGATCCTGCTACCATGGAAACAGTCTCGTTCTTCCTAACCATCATCCTTGCCAATCCAAAATCAGCGATTCTTGCCTCGAGATTCGCATCAATAAGTATATTGTTTGACTTGATATCTCTGTGAATTACTGGAGGGTGGCAATCATGGTGGAGATAAGCAAGCCCATGTGCAACTCCAAGTGCTACATTGTACCTTGAAACCCAGTCTACAAGCAATCTGCCTGCTTGTTTGCCATGCAAGGCTTCTCCGAGATTGCCATTGTGCATAAATTCATATACTATCATCATATTAGTATCATTATGAAGAAATCCTAATAATCGAACAATATTTCGATGCCTTAGCTTGCCTAGGAGATTCACCTCCCCTACAAAATCACCGCTGTTTCCTGCTTCAATGTCAGTACCTGATCTCCATAGCTTTTTCACAGCCACAACTGTGTTTAGCTGAGGCATCTCAGCCTTGTAAACAACTCCAGTTGCTCCCATTCCAATTACATTCAACTCTTTAATGCAGGGGAGAATGTCAGAAGTTGTGAAATTGAGTCTTTGGAATGCCATTAATCTCCATGGCCACTCTCCCTTGCTGGTGTTGTACCTGTCTTCATACCAGCAGCCGTTGGACTGCCACTTTTTGTAGAGAGATCGTGCAGTGATACCTGCAAGTCCAATTGCTAGAACTGATGAAATACCGATGAGCCATCCTGCAACAACGTGATTATGCAAGCTCCTCTGCTTGAATGTAGTTGGTGAATAGTGGTTGCAAGGAGGTAGAACTCCACCACAGAGACCTGCATTGCCTGCAAGATCATCTGGGTTTATTGTTTTGAGCACACCATTGTCAGGAACAGGACCCTCTAGCTTGTTGTGGGAGACATTCATCACTTCCAAGGCTGGGGAGGTGCCCAAATTTTCAGGTATTCCACCAGTTAAGGAGTTGTTGGACAGATCAAGAATGGCCAACATAGCCATTGTTGAAACTGCTTTTGGGATTTCTCCAGTCAACTGATTATTTCTGAGGTTCAGATTTACCAGTTTCTCACATGAGGCAATGCTTGCTGGAATTACTCCAGTGAAATGGTTTGATGAGAGATCAAGGACAGAAAGAGAAGGACAGTCCTGAAATTGATCTGGAACTTCACCTACTAAGTTATTGTTTGAGGCAATTAAAGTTTGTAGATTAGGAATGGAAAGAATGGTGGGAGGGAGAGAAGACCGGAGGTGATTTCTAGAAAGGTCAATAAAAGAAAGTGATGTAGAAGAAGCAATATCATATGGGATTCCACCTGTGAGACTATTGTTTGCCAATTCTAATCTTTGAAGCTTCGCAAGTTTGCCAAATCCAATGGGAATAGCTCCAGAGAGTAGATTATTCTGCATTCGAACACGGACAATGGAGAAGCAAGTTGATAAGCTAACTGGAATTGGACCTGAAAAGGCATTGTTGAAGAGAATAAGCTTGGTGAGGTTGCCTCCATTGCACAAGCTTGTGGGGATCTCACCAGAGAAGGAGTTGGAAGAAATGTCCAGCCACTGCAATGGGGAATTCTTGCCAAGATCATTCGGCAATGGCCCCGAAAGAGAGTTGTTCCACAGGTCAAGCACTTCCAATTGGGTTAACCCTCCAAGTTCAGCAGGAACTGGACCTGATAACTGATTACACATCAGATTCAAGAGCTGTAAATTCTTCAATGAAGCTATCTCAGCTGGGATCTCTCCAGACAACATGTTATCAGATAGATCCAGAAAGCGCAATGAGGTAATGTTCCCAATTTCTGGTGGGATCTTTCCTTCAATCTTGTTCCTGTACAAAAAAGCTGTTTCCAGTAGCTTAAGCCTTCCCAATTCTGCAGGAAACTGACCACGAAGATTGCCAACAGCCAAATCAAGGTACTTAAGACTGGTAAGATTCCCAAACTCTTCTGGGATTTCACCCTCAAACTCATTATACCCAAGAATCATGGTCTCCAATGAAGAAATCTGCCCAAGCTCCCCCGGTATCTTGCCAGTTAGATTATTTCCAGAAAGGCCAAGAAATTTCAACTTACGCAAGTTCTTGAAAGATTTTGGAATGGAACCTTGGAAGAAACTTCCTCTCAGATCGAGTGTCTCCAATGAGGTTGCATTGCCAAGATCCTCAGGAAGGAAACCAGAAAAGTTGTTGCTGGAAGCATTTAGCAGAGTTAGCCCAACTGCTCTTCCAAAACCTGCTGGTAAGCTACCAACAAACGAATTCTGGCTCACATCAATGCTCCTCAGCAATGTGATATTGGAAAGAGATCTTGGCAATGACAAAGAGAACTCGTTACAGCACAAGTTGAGAGAAGTCAGACTTTGTAGCCGTTGTATTTCATCTGACACTCGACCGCTGAGATTCATGTGGGAAAGGTCAAGTTTTTCAACAGCTCCAATGGAGTTGCAGAACACTCCAGTCCAGTTACAGTGAGCTGAATGCCTCCCTGTCCCATTGTCTGCCAGTTTCCAATCTCCAAGACTATTCAGAGGATCGAAGAGATCAGCTTTTATTGATAATAAAGCCTGCACTTCATGATTCAAATCACCTTTCTCCACCAACCTGCACAGAGAGATATTACACAACCAATGCAACAGTAAAAGAGAGACAATAGTCTGCACTGCATTTATGCTCTCTCATACTCCTGATATGTAGCTAATTCTCCACCATTTTCACTCTCTGCAACTGCTAGAGAAGATCAGCAAGGAGTCGTAGTAGATATCTGTTGGTGTATTTTTATAATGATGAGGAAAAATGGAAAGAAGATATAGGTGTTTGTATATATATAGTAAAGAGAGTTTTTTTAGAGGTCTGGTGAGATCTTGAGGTGTGGAATAATAGCTGTTAATCAGCAGCTAATGACAGGGAAGCTTTTGGAGTTATTGGAAGTTTCTCCCACATTAAACATGGGTGGAGAACGAACTATTTTATTACTAATCCAAATGTTCTTTCTTCTATTTCTACTTCTTCTGTTATGTTTTAGTCAACTTGAGTGAGAGATAGTAACTATATATTTGTTTATTAATTCAACATTATTCTTTTCTTTTTACCTCTTCCTGGCTGTCAAGATAATCATACTTTATACAAACATCTATATATATATATATGTATTATATTCTTAAGAGATTATATAGAAGATGATGCTAGCCAACTACTCCCCTCATCTTTAAAGAATGTCTTTCTGGGTTTTTGGATTGAGTGGATATAATGCAAGTTTCAAAACTTCAAATGCTTGCCTTCAAAGGAAAATACAGAAATCAAATCCTAGTTTGAAATGTCATAAAGCTTTTGGGAGGTATTAATATACTTACAATAGATTATGTTGACTGTCATACTATCAGTAAATATACAAGAGATAAGCCTGATAAATTAGTTATTTTTTAAATACACAAAATGGGTTTTTGGATCTCTAAGAAAATCTGAAAAATGGGATACTGAATAAATTAATTTATAACTCGGTAAAAGGTACTTAAAGTTTATTATTAAAATGGATGGAAGCCAAGGGTGCATGATCAAAATGATTGTTAAGGTTTAATCTCCTTAGAGCTTTCTTTTCAGTGAAGGGTAACTTCTAAGGATTCAGAGAATCATGATGCTGATTTACATGTGATCACAAAACCCATATGGTACTTAATGGGAATTTTTGTATTTTGATTACATTGATCTCATATACATACATACATAATACATATTTTTTGGGTAATTATATATGTAAATATAGATAATAAGTCCAAAGAAAGAAGCAATAATGGATGGCCTCATTGATCCAACCATCCAACATGGTGCTGAATTCTGAGGCTTTTTATTTTATAGTTTTTCCCAGATCAGTTTGGTCCCAAACCCCCCACTATCATCCCATAAATTTAATCAATTCATAATTAATGGACATAAGTGGGTTTAATTCTACATATCCACCAGGTTGGTTATTTACTGCTTATGCATGACGAATTTAAAAAGGGGGAATCTTTCCATGTTACTACATAAACACAAATGACAAAAGAACTCCAAGTTACCAAACTTTCATTCCCTAATTCTTTAAATCAACTAAATATTTTTTGAACTCGAAGATTTTATTAAAAAAAAAAAAAAAACTGTGGATTCAAATATAATTTATTTTATATTTTTTGATCTTTTTCAAGGGTAATGAAGGAATTTTAGGGTTTTTATTTTAGTGGGTGTGGTCCAAATATTGGAAAGGAAAATGAAAATCCAAGTCAATAAGAAATAGGAAATGGGAGGTTAGTGATTCCGCATTATCAATCATGGACTGACGCAACCAAACACCGGTTCTTGCTCCTTCTTTCTCACATTAATATATACATACATGTTTCTTTAAAAGAATAAAACTATAGCAACTGTTATACATAATTCTCACATGCCCTCCGCATGTGAAGTGCTGCATGTTTCTATACCCTGTTGTATTTATGTATGTATGTATGTATGTGTGTAGGTACGTACACACAAAAGTGTAGTTTTATGAGAAACGTGAGAG